AGAATACCAATCGAGAAGGGTGTAAGGCAGGGGGACACAATCTCCCCAATGCTATTTACCGCATGCATGCTTACAGGACGTTTTCAGAAGCCTAGAAAGGGAACAGTTAGGGATAAGAGTTTATGGAGAGTACCTCAGTAACCTGCGCTTCGCCGATGACATTGCATTGCTGAGTAACTCAGGGGACGAATTGCAACTCATTATTACAGAGTTAGACAAGGAGAGCAGAAAGGTGGGTCTTAAAATGAATCTGCAGAAAACGAAAGCAATGTACAACAACCTCGGAAAAGAGCAGCGCTTCGAGATAGGTAATAGTGCACTTCAAGTTGTAAAAGACTATGTTTACTTAGGGCAGGTAATAACCGCGGAGCCGAACCACGAGATTGAAGTAACTAGAAGAATAAGAATGGGGTGGAGCACATTTGGTGAGTACTCTCAAATTATGACAGGTAGATTGCCACTATCCCTCAAGAGAAAGGTATATAACAGCTGTATCTTGCCGGTACTTAGCTACGGAGCAGAAACCTGGAGACTTACAAAGAGGGTTCAGCTTAAATTGAGGACGACGCAGCGAGCAATGGAAAGAAAAATGGTAGGTGTAACCTTAAGAGACAAGAAGAGAGCAGAGTGGATTAGGGAACAAACGGGGGTTAAGGATATCATAGCTGATATCATGAAGAAGAAATGGACATGGGCCGGGCATGTAGCGCGTGGACAGGATAACCGCTGGTCGTTAAGGGTAACTAACTGGATTCCCAGAGAAGGCAAGCGGGTTAGGGGGAGACAGAAGGTTAGGTGGGCAGATGAGATTAAGAAGTTTGGGGTATAAATTGGCAGCAGCAAGCACAGGACCGGGTTAATTGGCGGAACATGGGAGAGGCCTTTGTCCTGCAGTGGACGTAGTCAGGCTGATGATGATGATAACAGACACTGGCGTGAGCGTGGTTGGGGCGGGGGGGACGACGAGGGTTTGTCGCAGCACCCCCTCCCTATTATGTCAATGTATGGGGCCGACTTTGCACCCTTGAGTCGCAACGTCTTCCTTCCTATTGTGCCAATGTATAGCTGAACATACGCACAGCGTAACCTATAGAAGTAGTTGCAGCGTAACTATGGAACCAATAAACAAGGATAGAAAAGAGCACTGACTTTCAATAATTATTTGGTGTACATATATAGGTGAAAAAAAAGTGAGAATGGGCGTGCGTAGAAGGGCGCAGTTAACAACCACCGAGATACAATGTCAACAAAACTCTTGTCACTTGTTGATTCAGCTGGAAAGAAATGCACAGCTTAAGAAGTGATCGAGACACGCAATCTCTTTTTGCAATAGCGCAACTGATGGGGAACTTACACACGTACCGTTAAAGTTACTTATGTGATGGGCTTCGATTATCTCACGCGTGGCCTGCGAGTGGTGCTTGCCTACTACATCGCAAAGCTCAAAGAGGAGCACACAGCCACAGTGGATTCCGAGGTGTCCTCGAACTGCATTGTGCACATTATTATGCTCTCTTAAGCGGTCATTCGAGCACCTTCTGGTTTGCCCTATGTATATCTTACTGCAGAATAGCGGAAGAAGATACATGACACCAAAATAGCAGAAGGAACAGAGCGCATTATGTGTTTCACAGAGCATCATATCAATCTTACTTTACTTGCAGCTGGATCATTCACCGACTTGCAAAGCTAGCTTTTTTGCGGGGCGGTAAATACAACATTGATACCAGCGCGTTTCCTGATTTTTTTTTTTCAGCCTATAGACGAGACGTTGTGCAGATAAGGGACTGTGACACAGTTCTTAGGAACTGACACATTTTGAGGCTGAGATTGCCCTCCTTGGAGTGGTGATAGGGAGGCCAAGGACACATGCCCATCATGTGGACACACAGCGACACTCGCACACATGCTCTGGGAGTGTAGAACAACTCCTCCCGACTCTACCTCAAGCAAGTGGGAGAGGTCCCTCAGGAGCTCACTTCTCGCCGACCAGCAATGGGCCCTCCAGCAGGCCCACGAAGCGGCCGCCAGGTACTCCATGTCGGTCCCTGGGAGACGCCCGCTACGCGCGTCCTGCAGGACTGAAATAAAGTTATTCATTCAATTCCATTGCCCTCCTTGGCTTTTTATCTGTTTCAAAAGCTTTTCCGCAACAGCAGAAATCAGGGCATAGGAGTAACCAGCGCTTTGGAGGCGCTCGACCTGCGCTTTGAAACTGCGTTGCATCGAGTGCGGGTTTGACCTCCTAAGAGCGTTAGCAAGGCAAACATTAGTGATATACATCTTTTCAACAGTTTCGAATGAGCTGAGTGGAAAGGCAAAAGAGGTCTGCCACTTCTCGGCCAGAAAAGCCAGCACAAATGATTGCTCCAAAGACAGAGTGTTAGGTCCAGGAACCTAATATAATTACCAGACGAGCTCATGAGTAAATACATCTTTTCACCAGTTTCGAATGAGCTGAGTGGAAAGGCAAAATAGGTTTACCACTTCTCGGTGAGAAAAGCCAGCACAAATTATTGCTTCGAAGACAGAGTGTTAGGTCCAAGAACCTAATAGAATTACCAGACGAGCTCATGATTAAGTTCCAGAAGATCCAAGTGATTCTTAAACAAACCGAGGTTATTAAAGACAACAACTTCAAAATCGGCATCCGAACAACCAACAAATACTATGAAATCATCTACAAACCTACAGACTTACACAACTGAAGACAAGTCGAGATATTTTTTATGTGGTGGTCCTTATGCACGAGAAAGAAGTAGCTCAAGACTGGTGCCAAACAAAAACCTATGCAAACACTGCTTTTTTTTTTCTTTAACTAAATGTTGCTCGTTCGATGACGCAACCGTTCAGTTGCGTCCTGGAAACATGTCTCATACTAAGCTCTGCGTGGTGCAGAGAGGAACTAAAGGCAAAGAAGAGACGAGTTTTAAGTGGACCAGAGATATTTCGTGTGCCTTCTCGCGCGCGCGCTGCGGTTACTATTATGCAAACTGGATCCATTCTCTCAAATTTTCCCGCACTGATCGCGCCATTAACGAATTCGAACCGCGCATAAATCGTTACGAGGAACAAGTGCACTCCCCTATCAGTGCGCAGGATCTTGCACCGACGCGAGAGCGCTTTCAGAGAGAGAACAAAGTGCTGCCAAACGAAGTGGCGAACGAAAATCTCCGCGAGGGAGTAGCCGTAGGGAGCGGAGAAAACGAGCTTTTGAGTCACGCTCTGATGCAAGCCGACCCGCTCGAAGCCGCCCTCACAGAGGGACGCTCTCACATATGAAGCTTTGTGTTTCGAAAGGCAGCCTCTTTGTGAATTCAGCTTTAAATAAAGGAGAACGCCAGAGGTCGAGACGTAGGTTCATCGCGTGCACGGCTTTTGAAACCACCCAGCACTTTCCAACGAGCCCGGCCAACCTCCTATGCCAAGAGGAAGGGGAAGAAGCAGCGACAAAAAACGCTGAACACAAAGCTTTCTGTCTATCGAAAGGAATGCCGCTGCCCCCGTAGTTCGTGCCTGGTGCCCCCGCGGGTTTTCTCATGCATGACGTCACAATGGCGTCACGACCAGGAACGTGGTCGGCGAGGCACAAGTGCGCCGGCCGACGCCAGATGGCGCCACCTGCCTCGCAAGGTGGGCGTGCCTGTCAAGCCGAGTGGGCGTGGTCACCTTCACTCCTCTCCCCCTCTCTAGAACCGCACGCACATGGAGCGCGTTTTTCAGCGCGCTGACGCGGTGTGTGTGTGTTCCATGTGTATATAAGTGTGTATGTGTTTGTGTAAGATTCGGAGCGGAGACTTTTTCCCTTTTCTCTTTCCGTTGAGGACACGTGCGTGATGCGCGCTTCTTTTTCTGGTGCGAGTGCCAGCTAATCAAGACGAATTAGGAGAGGAAAGGAGCGCCGCGTTTTTACGGCTGTTCGAGCAGACGAAAAAGAAAAGCCCCGCGCACGCGCAGTTCTCCGTACTTTGGCTGGCGCGCGGACGAAAAAAAATGTCGTCTGCATCAATCACAGATGCCACTCTGCGGAAACTGTCGCCCCCCTTTGATATCGTAGCGACTGGAGATATGGCGGAGTCGGTTCCGTCTCCACGTTATCCGCGAGAAAATATTCAAGATGATAATCGAGGCAATGAGACACGACGTAGGAAAATAAACAGGGCCACGTCGCGAAAGACGCTGTCACTAACGACGGTGTCGTCTGCTTGCCCCGCGCTGTACCAGCAAGAGGTGCAACGAGAAAACGTTCCAGCGACCAACTACTACAAAAAATAAGGCACGCACAACAAAGGGCCGTGCGCGCGCGTATGACGTCCGATCCGCGGAATATACGAGGCGCGGCATGTGCCAACACGGGAGCGATAAATTCGCCCCCGAAGCTTTGGCGAGCAGCGCTCGCGGTTCCCTCTCATCTCGCGAAGCCAGCCAAAAAAGATATGCCAGCAGGATCAATGTCCAACGACGGAATAACGATTTCCAAGCAGCGGCGGGTCCAAGCAGCGCCGGATCGAAACCCCGAGCCCGGTCCGAGAACAAAAATGCACGCCGCCGCCAAATCAGCAGCGGGGAAAGGGGAGCAGCTAGCGGGGCGATTATCCGAATTAGGCTTCGCTTCGACTCCGTCCCTCAGCATGCCGACATCGCTAGGCCTCTCCGGCGAGTTTGCTCACGGCGCGGGGCGGAGCTGGAGCCCGCCGTTGCTCCCGGAAGGGACATTTCGCTCGGAGCGGCGCCGAGCTGGCAAAATGACAGCCAAAACTTCACACGCCGCGCCTCACATTTGAATGAAAAACATGTGAATTGCTCCAACTGTTCATCCCTTTCCCTCGAGAGGCCCGACGCCGCAGCCAATGAAAATAATGGAGGCCCTCGGCCCCACATGCGGGATAGCGAGTCGCTCGTAAATACCACGCAGGTGCTGTATTGTTATTAAACCCCTCGCGCATGCGTAGTGCGTCCCCGGCTTATATCAGATGTTTCAAACATGGCGACGGCGCTGAGGCCGTCGTGTTCTTTTGTGGGTGGAAACTGCCTCGCTAAGGGCGACAGATTGTCGAATTTCGAGCCGAAATTGTTCGGACATCGGCAGCCGGAAAGCCTGTTGGACGTGTGTGCAAAAGTGGTGGCGCAGCACATCCCATTCCAGCGCATCGAGGAGCGCTACAACAGGATACCCGAGCCCGTGCAACGCAGGATCATCTTCTGGTCGTTTCCGCGCAACGAACGGGATATTTGCATGTACTCGTCGTTATCAAGTGACTCCAATAGTTGTGGTGACTACCAGAAGCTTCCTTTTTACCGTGGCCTCAAGCTGTATGAGGCTGGGTGTGTCGATAACGTGTTGCAAGTAGGTAAGTGTACGTGCTACGGCGCACCGAACAAAGGCCGCTTGCCTAATGGGCTTTCGGACCGTGCATGTTTTCACTTGGTTGCCTGCCGCCTCGCTCCAGTGCACTGTGTTGCGAGGTGACTGCGATCGCCGATACATCGTTCTTAGGCGTAGCCAACTTAGGATCTAGGCTCGCAAGGACTAAAGTAAACAAAAGTGCCGCGGGCAAAGGCGTCTTTGATCGAACCAGTCTACGCGGCTGTGAAACCCCTCCGCCCCGGCGGGCTAATTTAATCGTTTCCATTATTGATCACGTCCCACTTTTTTCTTCTGCGGCCTCGTTTGGCCGAGCTCGAAAGTGATCTGACGTACGTCATTCTCGGCTGCCACTACGAGAAAAAAATATCGCGCGTGACCGGATACCGAAGTTGTCCGAACGACGCGCTCCGTAGGAGCTGCTCCCCCACAGATTTCTACCCCCTGAGGCGCGTTTTATTTTGCAAGCGATTCGACGTCGCTGCTCGAAAATGCCTCGGTCAGCGGGATCCGACGCTGCTCCCGACAAAACAGCGCAGCTTGCATTTTTCTCCGGCATCGTTTTCTCCCGAAAATGCCGTCCCGTGGTAATTGTCGTCTGCCTGCGTCACGGGCGCCCGTGTCGTGCCTTCTTGTTTCGGTTTTGCATCGTGTTTATGTTTTCTGGCCGAAGGGGGGCTACTCGTCGGCGCGTGGGGGAGCCACAGCCAGCGCTTGAGCCAGCTTTAGGCCTAGCTGCACCTGGGAAGGGGAGATTCGTTTCCGTCCGCACCCTGTGGCGAAACCCTTGGCACGTAGGCCGCTCGTTCGTGGGACCGCCGTGGAGGAAACCGTCGTTCGTTTTCTTCTATCGCCCTGACCGGGTGCGATTTCGTCGTCGTGGCATCCGGCTGCCGCCCGCCTTGTTGGCGTCGCTTGGGCTCGTATCAGCCTAGCTAGGCCTAACCGTTCCGTATCGACGGCTCATCAAAATGTAAACATGATGAAATCATGCTCTTTTCATTCCCACTTCTCAAAGCGCCGCTTCGGCGTGGAAGCGCTTTCTTCGTGTTTTGTTGTTTTCGTGCTGGTGTGTGTCTCCGATACTTTTCTGCGATGCTTTAGCGCGTAGAAGAAAAGAGCACGGGCGAATTTCGGTCTGCATCTACCGCGAGCCTGTCTGCTCGTGCGATTTTCGCACAGATGTTCGCTTTTGCGCAGGTTCTGACTCGTTTAAGAGAACCGTCGGTCCCATTACGATTGAATCGCCGTTGTTTGTGTATTATGGAATTTTTTTCTGCTTCACATGTTACCGAGCAGCCGCGCGCGTTCGTGTTCTGTCGTCTGCTACGACGGTGAGGCCTTTTCTTTCGCCTGCTTTCAACCGGAGCTACTACCCGCGCCGCTACGGCATTACCTTCGGCGAAAGGCAGCAAGCTTCGTTCCTTTGCATTTTTAATACGATGCCCCGTGCGCTTGTGTATGTGCAAACCCACGCCGCCTCGCCAACGCTAGCTGTGTACACATCGACAAAAAATGTATGCGGGTCTCAGGCGCGGATCGAAATCGCGGCATCGCACGCGCAGGTCTCCTTCTCTTTTTCGCGCTTCTTCGGAAATATGCAACATACGAGGGGAATGAAATGCCTCGGGGATAGCTCGGAATAATCCGGGACTGCAGGAAACTTTTCGCGCTTGTTTCTACGTGTTTGTTTCTGGTTTTGCAAGACTACCTTACGTAACGCGATGAACGTCGCGCTTGGACGTGACTAGCTGCACGTTGCGTCGACGGTTTGTGCATTTGCACGGTGGCAATTTTTTTTTCTCTCGAGCACTCAGTTAGGCACGCTGTACTCTGCTACTGTGCCTGGAGAGAAGTGCGGTTAGCGTTATAAAACAGACTCGATTGTTGCTCCTTTGTCGGGATTTCGTGACTTGCATTAACAGGCCGCGCTTATGTAGTCGCGTTTGCATTTAGGCTGAAAGTCGGAGATACGCCTCTTGGAAAGGTTTCTAGGATGGCGGCTCCGAGGGAAAGTAGTTTACGTAATGTATTTTTATTGTTATTGGCTTGGCAATCAACTCGCTCTCTCTTTGCTCATCCGCTTTCTCTTCTCTCGCTGTCTCATTATCTCAACTTTTTTTTTTTTCTTTTGAAGGCTTTCCCAACCCACATGTTCGTAGTTTCGCGGACCGCTCGTGAAAATTGCTGACGTATGGAAATGAGAGAAGAAAACACCACCCGGTGCAGCACACAGCTTCAAAATTGCATCGTGCCGCTGGACACAATGATTGGCTTGAGACTTTTTTTTTTTTGCCAGACTGATTGGTGCTGACCTTGGCGTTGCGCGATTGTACACGTTTTTCGATATCATCGCCCCTTGAACTAAACTAAAAAGTGGATAGAAAACGCTGCGTACAGCAACCAGTCTTCTGTTCGACGAAGGGCGGTGCAATCGCTTTAGTACTTGTACAAGGATAAGTCGCGGGGTATGTGAAACGGAGCGCAGGGGCGTGGGTTCGAATCCCTGCCTCATTCACGTGGGAGAGGAACTCCAATGCGATCGCGTGCCGTGATTTGGTGTTCCAAGCTACGACAAATGGAATTGTCTTCTTTCTTGTATAGACCTTAGAAACTGTGGCTCATACCAACACTGGTGAATCGGCCAAGGACCGGTTAGTTTTTAAAGGAAACCATGGAATGAAAGTTGGCTGTGGCGACTGCATTTCCGATGGAGGCGGAAATGTTGTAGGCCCGTGTGCTCAGATTTGGGTGCACGTTAAAGAACCCCAGGTGGTCGAAATTTCCGGAGCCCTCCACTACAGCGTCTCTCATAATCATATGGTGGTTTTGGGACGTTAAACCCCACAAATCAATCATCATGGAATCAAAGTTCAAACGTTTATTCATTCAAACAGGAGTACAAATGAATAAAAATTAAGATTAAAATAAAAATGTAGAAGAGATACGTAGCAATAATCAGAGAATCTGTAGGAAAGAAAATTTGAAAAGTCGATTTTATAACTTGAATCTTTTTAAACCTTTAAGACATTCCCATTACGCATTAGCAAGAAAAGTCCACTGGACGAAATGTCGGCTCAAACACAGAATGCTTGTTCACTGATAATTTTCCTTGCCTTTGGTGCGGGTGGGCCTGCAGGAGACTGTGTAACCATTAACCACGAGAGAGGACAGTCAGTAAGACGTGAGACCAGTAGCGTAGATATAGAAATAAGTCAAGGGGGGACACACATTTTGATATCATGAAGGCCATTTTTGTTTTCATAATTATTGATTAATTTTTATTTATGGAAATTTTAACTGTGTTTTTAAACAAAGAAAACGAGCACGGGCCTGAGCTTCCGAACAGTGTATTATTTTCTGGCAGTGCAGCTTATAAAATGAGACCCCTAATACTGCTGGAAAGAGAAGCGTTGCGTTTGTGTCTGGGTCTACCAAAATTTGTTGCAAATAACGTGTTGGACATGGAAGCTCGCCTACCTTTTCTGCTAAATAGGTTTAAAATTCTTACTGTGCAAGCATTCTTAAAGATATACAGTTCACACCAAAGACTCATTTTATGCTTTCATTCAAGAACCGTCTTTATTTTTCGAAACACATAGGTCGCGACTACACACACCGCAAATATTTGCACAAGCGCTGCCACAGCAACGGAATGTAAAAACTAAATATATTGGTCCAGTACACAACCTAAAGTCAATGCTTAGCATACAATTTGATGATATTTTTCCTCATAACGCCAAATTGATTTGATTGATTTGTGGGGTTTAACGTCCCAAAACCACTATATGATTATGAGAGACGCCGTAGTGGAGGGCTCCGGAAATTTAGACCACCTGGGGTTCTTTAACGTGCACCCAAATCTGAGTACACGGGCCTACAACATTTCCGCCTCCATCGGAAATGCAGCCGCCACAGCCGGGATTTGATCCCGCGACTTGCGGGTCAGCAACCGAGTACCTTAGCCACTAGACCACCGTGGCGGGGCAACCTCATAACGCCAAACAATTGGCACATAGGTACTTAAATGATATTGCTTATCTCTAGGTGAGCAGATTATCTAGCTCACCTAGAGATAAGCAATATCATTGCGACTGATGCATCTGTGTCAAAAAGAAAAGGCTGGGGTTGGCATCTTCTCTCCTTCTTTGAACTGGTTCTTTTCGATTCGACTCCCAGATTATACCCCTGTATTCATTGCAGAATTATTGGCTATTGTTCTTGCCCTACGTAAATTGCCCTCAAGCGAATCATTAGCAGTTATCATTACAGATTTGTTATCAGTATGTAATGCACTTTATGTGGCAGTAGATGCAGAGATGAATACGTTTCGGCATTTAGTACTGAAAAACGTAACAAAGACTGCATTTGCTATGGGTATCGGGCCACCGCGGATTACATTTGAACGAAATGGCGGACTCTTTAGCAGCAGTGTCCCTGAGTGGGCCCACCATCCCAGTTTTTCCAGATACGGCTTATGTGACAGCGCTAAGGTTCCGAAATGCTTGTCTGCAATGGGGAAAAGACTATTTGGATAAATTCAAAGATTTTGAGCATTTGAGGTATTGCTGGAATAAACAGTGGTGTGCATCTCGCCAGTTAGAGGTCACTTATACCAGATTGCGCTGTGCAGTTCCACAACTAAATTATTACCTTAACAAAGCTCGACTCAAGGTGTCACCGCTATACATTTGGTGCAACGAAATTGAAACAATTGAATGTTTCTTTTTATCTGTCATCGTTATTCTTATCAGAGAAAAAGATTTTTAGTAGCCCTATTACAAAAGCTAGGAATACAAGTAAACCTAGCAGTAATTTTATCATTTGGCGGAACTTCATTTGGTTACTGCCACAGGGATATATGCTCCACTGCGTTTGATTACATCAACGCAACTAAAAGATTACCATGCTACCTTTTCAGATCTTTATTTTATAATTCGTAGCTATGTCTGTCAAAAACAAGAGATGGTTTGACCGCTTGCTCAG